CCCAAATGATGCCCCTGGCAGCGTTTTGTGACCATGAGGCTCTCAAGAGATACATGTTGGGGACGCCAAACGGCAATTCTAGCTGAGACGTCCCACCAAAATCGGCGCGAACGGGCTCGTGAGATCAGCCAGGGTGGCTCCCCCTTGGGGCTCCCAAATGATGCCCCTGGCAGCGTTTTGTGACCATGAGGCTCTCAAGAGAGACATGTTGGGGAGGCCAAACGGCAATTTAGCTGAGACGTCCCACCAAAATCGGCGCGAACGGGCTCGTGAGATCAGCCAGGGTGGCTCCCCCTTGGGGCTCCCAAATGATGCCCCTGGCAGCGTTTTGTGACCATGAGGCTCTCAAGAGAGACATGTTGGGGAGGCCAAACGGCAATTTTAGCTGAGACGTCCCACCAAAATCGGCGCGAACGGGCTCGTGAGATCAGCCAGGGTGGCTCCCCCTTGGGGCTCCCAAATGATGCCCCTGGCAGCGTTTTGTGACCATGAGGCTCTCAAGAGAGACATGTTGGGGAGGCCAAACGGCAATTTTAGCTGAGACGTCCCACCAAAATCGGCGCGAACGGGCTCGTGAGATCAGCCAGGGTGGCTCCCCCTTGGGGCTCCCAAATGATGCCCCTGGCAGCGTTTTGTGACCATGAGGCTCTCAAGAGAGACATGTTGGGGAGGCCAAACGGCAATTTTAGCTGAGACGTCCCACCAAAATCGGCGCGAACGGGCTCGTGAGATCAGCCAGGGTGGCTCCCCCTTGGGGCTCCCAAATGATGCCCCTGGCAGCGTTTTGTGATCATGAGAGAGTGTGAGTGTGAGTGAATGTGACTGTGAGTGAGTCTGAGTGAGAGTGAGTCTCATCTTATCTTATCGAGTCCTATCTTATCTTACCTTTATTACCCTCTATCTTATCTTATCTTGAAATCTCTTATCTTGTCTTAGCTTATCTTATATCAACTCATCTTATCGCATCATATCTTGTCTTATCTTATTACTCCATAGGCTGTCTTATCTTATCTATTATCCTACCTTGTCATATATCTTATCTTACCTTATCATATATTGTGCTATCTTATCTTGTAGTATCTTATCTTGTCTTGTCTTATCTGGTGATTATCATTGAAAGGAGGGAGGCGCGAACGGGAGGAAGGAGGAGCAGTGGGAGGCGTCAGAGTAATAACAAGAACCCCAATCCTTAGGATATGGGGAAAAAGTATCCCCACCTGGGTGCGCCTTTCCTGGCGCCACTTCACGCACTTGTCTGTGGTGGCCCGCGCCATTTTGGCTGCGCGGCAGCTTGCTGCTTCTCGTGCTCGTGCGCTCTGCTGCCGTGGGACTTTGCGGTTTCGGCCACCCTGGGTTCTCGCAGCCTGCCAACGCTCTCGCCCAATTCAGCATCAATTCGCCCTTGACCGTCGGTCCTCCCGGCTGCGGCCACCCTGGTACTCCCGCAGTTGTCCGGGGTTCGCGCCCATGCATTAATCACTCGGCTTCTGCCCCTGGTCGTCGTTCTTCCCGACTACCTGGCGCTTCCGACGCCATGCATACCTGCACGTTGGCAGTACGACTCAGTTTCAGCTGCCCCCTCCACTCGCCGGTCCGCCGCTGAGGTGCTGCGCGAGGCCCCGCTTAGCCGCTTTAGGTGAGGCCGCCCTCCGCTGTTTTAGGTGAATTGGTCGTTGCGTGCCCCGCTTTCACTGGACTCGCCGCCGGCGCGCTCGCCCTCGGCCGCTGACAAAATAATACCCCCACCAGGTCTTTAGAGTTTGGCGCAGATGCCTCTTCTCTGGAAGCGCGCGGTTGGACCGCGACGCTCGCGAACCAAAAAAATACTCCACCAGAAACCAGAAGGTGTGGCCGTTAGCCACCTCTTGTGCCAACTCCCACCTCCTGGCGTCTTGCCCCCCGCCCCTCTCCTCCTCTGCCGACCGCTTTCGGTCACAGCACAGCCCCTGGCTCTCCCCTCGCCCTTGAGGATCAGGCTCCACGGCGCTGCCTTCACTGGCACGAGGCCCTTGCGAGGGTGGGCGTAGCGTGTCGTCACGCGGCCTTGCCGTTTACTGTTGTTGTGTTCACCCTGGCCTTCTCCGCACCTGGCCGCAGCCTGGCCCGGCATCCCTCGTCAGCGGGCTTCGTGATGACCGGGTATCCTGATACCGCGGCTGGCTTTGCCACCCCCGCCCTTGAGGATCAGGCTCTTCGGCGCTGTCAATACCTGGCGCGATGCCCGTTTTTGGGGCGGGGCGCAGCGTGCCACACGGCCCTGGCCGTTTATTGTAGCTGTTTTCACCCTGGCCTTCATTCGGACCCTGGCCACGGCCTGGCTTGGATCCCTGGTGAACTGGCCCCTCTCCTGGCCTTCGCCGCACCTGGCCGTTGCCTGACCCGGCTCCCTCGTCAGCGGGCCTCGTGACGACCAGTGTTGGTCCCGGTACTGCGCTTGGCTTGCCCCCCGCCCTTGGGGATCTGGCTCCACGGCGCCGTCAATACCTGGCACGGTGCCCCTTGCTGCGGCGGGGCGCAGCGTGCCACACGGCCCTGGCCGTTTACTGTAGCTGTTTTCACTTTGGCCTTCGCTCGGTCCGGGCCACAGCCTGGCTTGGTATCCCTGGTGAACTGGCCTCTTCTTCGTGGCGTCTCGTGGCTCACGCTCGCAGCGTTGCGGGCGCCTGGCCGGGGGAACCTCTGCCTTCAGCTGCCTGGTGCGCCGCCCCCCCTGTCCCCTGCGCCGGGTGGTTTTCATGCTGGCGTCGTTGAGCCAGTGAGGCACCCTGGCGTCCAGGCGATTTGCACGTCGACCAGTTTGGGCTTGAATGCTTGCGTGTTTTTGGCTTCTGGTCCCAGACACCGCCACAGCCTGGCCGTGTTTGCAGCTGCCACCTGCATGGTGGGACGCGCTCCTTTTTGGATTGTTCGGGAGTGGTTCAGCCTTCTTGTTCAGCCATGTGAGGTTGTCTCTGTTGTCATGCAGCACTGGTTCGACCTCTGGCGCCTGGTGCCACAAGGTTCAACTCATGCTCTTCCAGGTGGCCCCGCCCCTGGGTTGCCCGCCCGCTGGCCGCCTGGCGTTCTTGGCAGCCTTCGCTGTTTGCCTGCAGCTCCCGGCGCCCCCCCCTGCCTCAGCCTCTGCTTTTGCAGCCCTGGCTTCTGCCCCCGGCGCAGCTCAGCGTCCCTCGGCGGTAGTTCAGCAGTTGCCTGTGCGCGCGCTAGGTTAAGTAGGCTTGCTCGTAGCCCGAGCTGATTTGTGACACTGCCGGCGCGTTCGCCTGCAGCTGCGACCAAAAACTATCCCCACCAGCCCATCCAGAAACAATTCCCGCGCGAGTTGCCCTGATCCAGGAAGTGTAACAGCATGTAGTTCATTAGTAAGCCGCATAAGAGGTGGAGGTGGAGGATGAGGGCAAGAGAAAAAGGAAATAGTGAAGGCGGTAGTCCAGAAACGATGCCCACAGCAGAGTTGTCTAGAGGTGGGGCGCAGGTGAGCACACAGTAATGCAGGGAGGCGAAAATCGGTGAAACTAAACTTCGGGGAGCTCCTGGAGCCGTCTTGGGATAATCATGAAAGCCTTCGGAGCTCTCTTGAGGCGTTTTGGGGGCTGTCTTGAGGCCCTTTGGGGGGCCCTTTCTGGGGGGCGTCGAGGGTCTACATGGGGAACCTTGGAGGCCATCGAAGAAAGGAGAGGTGGGGTTCTTGATGTCAGCGCCCCCGCTGGAAGCTGAACATAGCCTCCTGGGGCCCTCTTGGGGCGCTCTTGAGGCGCTCCTGGGCGATCCTGGGGCCGTCTTGGAGCCCTCTTGGGCGCCTTGTGGGGCGGTTTAGTGCGATCTTGGAGCCATCCTGAGGCCTCCCAAACCGATCAGAAGCAAAAAAGTAGAGAACGCAAAGAAACAGTCAGAACATAACGCAGGAAACGCGCATCACACCAATCTCCTGCACGTGTCGCGAAGGAAACGTACGCAGTTTCGATTCCACGCAAAGCGCGCGCAGAGACGGGACATATCGATGAGCACGCATCTTTGCTGAGCGTCGACTGGCGTGCGCCTGCCGTAAGCGCCGCGTCTGCGTTTGGCCCACGCGGTATAGTATATCGCCGTGCGGCTCGCACCAAAGCCACGGCGTGGGTGCACTTGAGGTGGAGATGCCGGTCCATCGCGGGGTAAGCCCAAGCACTGTTGCATTTCCGAGTCGTCGTTGCTCCCCGCCCGCCCCCGCCGCGGGAGAGCTCGAAAGCGGCCAGGTTGTGCGCGCGCACGAAGGCAGTTTGCAGGGGTGTCGACTTGACATCTTGTCGCGGCGCAGATGCTTCGATTGGCGCGGCGAAGAGCGCACAATGGATGCAGACCCCCCCCAGTACCTTCCCTCTCTTTCCAGCTGTTTCCCTCGCCTTCCTCCTTTTTTTTTTTTTTTCTCTCTCTCTCTCTCTCTCTATCTCTCTACTTCCTCTCTCTATTTCTCCCTCCTCCACTCCCGCCCTTGCTCCCCCCGTTTATGCTCTCTCCCCATTTACCATTTGACCCCCCCCCCGCTTACCTTCCCTTCCCCTCCTTGGAGCAGGACGGCGAGGAGGGGGCGGAGCAGTGAGAGGAGGAGGAGGAGAAGGAGGAGGAGGAGGAGGAGGAGGAGGAGGAGGAGGAGGAGGCGGAGAGGAGGATGCGGAGGCGAGGAGTCGCCCTCGAGCCTCCAACGCTCGAGCTTGATTGGTACTTCGACCTTGCCAAATCAAGAAATCAAGGGTGCCCCTGTGTCTGAGCATGGCGCCTCATGCCTTCGGCATTCCCGCCGCGATGTGGCATCCACCTCCACCATGTCCCTGGGCCCGGTCCTCGATCTGCCGCCGCTCCGCGGGGAGGGCCCTCGTCTGCCAGCCAGAGCTTCGCTTGGGCTCCGATGCCTCGGAGTCGGCCCTCGGACCCGGGCCAGGCCCAGGCAGGGCGCAGAGGCGCCCCCTCGGGTCTGCGGTCCGACTGGGTCCGGTCCTCGATCTACCCCCGCGCTGCGGGGAGAGGACCCTCGCCTACATGCTCTGCCTCGCCGCGTGGCTGCTCTTCAACATCTGCGTTCTGATCCCGCGCAGCGCCAGCCCGAAGGGCGAGCCCTGGACGAGCGGGGACCCACTGCGAGGCGCACGGCGCCGACGACGCCGACGACGGACGACGACGGACGACGTGGACGACGGACAACGACGATGAAGACGACGACGACGGACGACGACGACGCCGTCGGACGACGATGATGACGACGAAGACGACGACGACAAAGGGCCACCAGACAAGGGCCATGGGCCATGGGCGACGACGACGACAACGACGACGACGATGACGACGTCCTTGGTTTGTCGGTGTTCGACAGTTTTACGAGGCCGCGCGTGCTGAGGCTTTCGATCTTTCAGGTGGGTCACAGGAGCGAAGATCATCGCGCTTCGCGGTTTGTGTTGCAGAGTCACAATTTTGCAGAGGTGCGAGTTCACGTTACCACTACAAGTCTCGTCAAACATAATTGATGGTTTTTGTTTTCGGCGCTTGCGCGGTCGGCGCGATTTCAATGCTGGCATGGGGTGTTTGGCCCACGCGCAGGGGTGTCCGAAATCCGGCAGTGTCCTCACAGCATTAAAGAACGCGTTTTCTGACCAAAGCTCGAACTGTCGGGCGCTTCCTTTGTGACGCGGCTTGTAGCAGTGGGGGTGCTGATTGCAGACGCCCGGGAAATCCCAGCAGGATTCCTTTCTTTCCGCCAGCAGTTTATGCCGTGCCTTGGTTTGCGTCCATGTGCACGAGCCTTGCTGACCTTGGCGCTATTCACACTGTTCAGAATCTTACTGGCACGTAGTAATATAGCACATAGGCGACCCTTCGGCCCATGATTTGCTTGACATCGTGGCGATTACATGATAGATGATAGAGGATTGTCCTGGTCTTTGCCGCTTGACGTGCGGATGATGATGACGCAAGATTGACATGTGCGCGCGATTACTCCGAGCGATAGCGTGTAGTCAGTGGGTGGGTCAAGATGTATAGTTTCGACCTCGGCCAGTATCAACGCGAGAACTTGTTGATGCAATCCATGGAGTCACGATATGGATAGACAGCTGTGATTACTTCCGCACGAAGGAAGGTATGCCTAAGGAAACTTAGCGCAAATTGTCTTTGCGGTGGCACTACCATGTATCGGGGTCTATCAGGGATCCCGTAAAGATTCTCATGTGGGGTTGGTAGAGGCGTGGGTATGCAGTAAACCAGGCTCGTGAGCAGCGCACTCGTTGCTCGGGGCGATACCTGCACTGCGCCCTTGGGCGGCACCCCGCCGCGCAGCGCATTGTGGGCCCGCCTCGTGCCCAGCAGAAGTCGACGAGAGCCCTGACTGCCCAGCTTCTCAGCACGGACTGCTTCACAGTCCGTGCCACCCAGGCCCCATCCGAGGATTTTGGCCCGTTCCCCCGGGCCCAGGAGCCTGGCCCGATCCCGCCCTGGCCCAGGAGCCTGGCCCGTTCCCCTGGGCCTGGGAACCTGGCCCGATTCCGCCCGGGCCCAGGAGCCTGGCCCGATCCCGCCCTGCCCACGCGGGGACCGTGGCCCCTTTCCCCCCCCCTGGCGCCTCCAGCGGCCGTGCGGCTCCCCTCTCGACGGCGCGGGCTCCCTCCCTGGAGCCCCCTCGGCCCACTCCCCCAGGGGGGGGGGCCCGTTGTGCTCGTCCAGGGGCCTCGCTCGGACGCTCCGGGCCCAGGACGCCCGCCCGCGGAAGGCGGAGATGGGGCGAGGCTACAGCCCCCCTCGAAGCCAAACGCAAGTTTTTGTCCTTCCCCCTCGCCCCCGAATTTCAACGTTGATAATTATGGGGGGCCCCCGGGGCGTCGCCATGTCGCGGAAAAAACTTGCCTTTGATTTCGAGGAGGGATGCAGCATGATGACAAAGCGTCCCTGAGCGTTCCAGAACGCTCTCGGAGTAGCGCTCTGGAGCCGCCGCGGCGCCCGATGCGTCCTCCAAAGGCCGCCTGATCTGAGGGATCCCCGATTTGTCCTTGTCCGATTGTCTCGTCTTCGGAGAGCTTCCGTCCAGAGATGTGGCCCGAGCCCACGGGGTCGGAGGATGGCGCCGCACCGCCGATGCATCGGCGATGCGGCTCTGTGTGGAGCACGGCTTTCTCCACGCTGGCGGCAGCGATGCGCCGACGTTGCTGGTGCATCGATCGGCTATGCGGCGCGATCTTCCGACCCTATTTCTTCGGTCGGTATCGTTTATCCGATCCCCATCCCCATCTCCATCCTTTTCGAGACCCCCACCAAATTACCACCCCTGTTGGGGATACACCCCTCGAAACCCGAAGGGAACGACCGATATCCCCATCTAGGGGGGTAAATCGGCCAGTGGGGCCCAGGCCACGCCGCTGGGAATGGGGATCGGTTAAACGATACTCATTCGGACACCCTTCGGGGGGCCCTTCGTGCTGCCGAGCGGGCCTGGCCCTTCGCGCGGCTCTGGGCGGGGCCGCAGCGCGCGCGCGCTCGGCTGGGAGGTCGGTCGCCGGCGGCGGCCGCGCCGTGGTGGGCCGGGGCTCAAGAGACGGGGGTCAAGGCAAAAGGCAAACGGGGGTCAGCCAAGGAACCGGATCCTACAGAATCCTGCGAAGACCCTTTCTGGCTGACCCGGGTTAATTAGCGAGTCGCTCGTGGCCGCGAGGCGGCCGCGCATATTGGTTGACCCGGGTTTGCGCGAAGCCTTGCGTTGCAGTTTTTGTTCCTTGCATTGCAGTTGTTTGGCTTCCTGCTGACCCGGGTCTGGTTGACCCGGGTTAGCACATCTCCGAGTGGGCGCGCCCGCCCCGGCAGGGCTCTCGCTGGGGATGACTGCTGGGTCCCTCTCCGGGAACATGTTCTGCGTCAAGGCGTTCGTGGAGATTGTGCAGGGGTCCATCGAGAACCGCAGCGGGTGCTCGCAACCTTCTTCGTCCATGTCTGTCGTCTGCTCCCCAAGTGGACTGAGGCGCTCCAGAGTCCCACGGAAGCCAGCGAACGGTCACGGTTTCGGCTCGCGGACATACTACCGCAATTTCCAAAAGAGATCAATGTCAGCGTAACCAAAGTTTCCTGTGGCGACCATATATTTGCCACGGCCTTGTTCTGTATCGTTATCGTGTACATCACGAAATTGAGCTTTGGCCTGATAGTGGGCTTGCAGAGAAGCGCGGCGGGGTGGTTGATATATTATTTGCAAGACCACCCTTCGGGTGATGATGTGGTTGGGGGGGAGGGGTTCAGGTTTCGGTTTGCGATTGGCTTTGCGCCGGATTGGCAGCACACCTTAGTGGCATTCTAAATCTAAAAGTATCCAGCTCTTCTAAATTACTCTAGCTACCACATCGCTTTGGTTACAATTTCTTGTAAAGAGGTATGCCTAGCCCAACTGACCAACCTTTTCTGGCTATTATCGAAGACGCCTACGGCGAATCACCGCCGCCCCCTGCCTTTTTGGAAGCGCCCATGCGGCCGAACGTTGAGGCCAGACCTGCCAAGCTATCGGTCCATGTGTTCCCCGAATCGGTTTGGAAAGCCTTCGGGGAACACGTGGGCATCTTGAAGGTCATCTTGGCCGCCTGGAGGCCACTTTGACCCTCTTGGGCCTTCTTGGAAGACGTCTTGAAGGGCTCTTGGGCCGTCTTGGAGGCCATCTTGAGCGTCTTGGAGGCCTCTTCGGCCGTCTTGGGGGCCTCTTGGGGCCGTCTTGGGCCTCTTGGGAGATCTTTGGGGGCACTTGGGCCGTCTCGGGCCGTCGGAAGGCCGAACAACAAGCAAATGCCACAACCCTTCAAAAACTCATGGGAACTCAGTGATTTTGGCCTTTTCGGGCCTTCCTGGAGGCCCTCTTGGAAGCCTCTTGGGCCGTCTTGGGCCATCTTAGGGCTATCTTCGGCCGTTTTGGTGGACTCCTGGCCCGTCCGACGCCGTCGGATGCCGTTTGGGGGGCCTCTCTGAGCCGACTTGGGGCCCTCTTGGAATGCGCCAGGGCCGTCTTGGAGGCCATCTTGAGCGTCTTAAAAGCCTCCTGGGCCGTCTTGGGAGCCTCTTGGGGCCGTCTTGGGGGTCTCTTGGGCCGTCGTTCTGGGGCCCTCTTGGGCGATTTTTGGGTGATCTTTGGGGGCTCGTGGGCCGTCTCGGGCCGTCGGAAGGCCGAAAAGAAGCAAATGCCAAACTCCGTCGAAAACCGAGGAACAGCAGTGTTTGGGGCTTTTTGTCTGGCCTTCCTGGAGGCCCTCTTGGAGGCCTGTTGGGCCGTCTTGGGCCAGCTTCGAGCCAACTTCGGCCATCTTGGTGGGCTCCTGGCCCGTCTGACGCCGTCGGAAGCCGTTTGAGGGGCCTCTCTGGGCCGACTTGGGGCCTTCTTGGGGTGCTCCAGGGCCGTCTTAGAGGCCATCTTGGGCGTCTAGGAGGCCTCTTGGGTCGTCTTTGTGCCGTCTTGGGGGCCTCTTGGGCAGTCCTGAGGCCATCTTGGAGGCCTTTTGGGCGCTGTGGGGGCGATCTTGGAGGCATCTTGGGCCGTCTTGGGTCGTCGGAAAGCCGAAAAGGAGCAAATACGGAAAACCTTTAAAAACCAAAGGAAAGTCAATGATTTTAGCCTCTTCGGGCCCTCCTGGAGGACCTCTTGGAGGCCTCTGGGGCTTTCTTGGAGGCCTCTTGGGCACCTCTTGGGCCGTCTTGGGCCGTCTTGGAGGTTTCTCTGGCGGACTTGGAGGCATCTCCTCCTCTCCTGGGCCGTCGGAGGCCATCTTGGGCGAACTTGAAGGCCATCTTGGGCCAACGTGGCCATCTTGGAGGCCATCTTGAGGCGTCTTGGAGGATTTGTTGTGGACGTTGAGGTCGTTTGCAGGCTTTCCGCAGGGCCGGCGGGACGGGCCGAAGCGCCAGGGGGAGTTCTTTTGGAAAAAGAAACAAGACCAAAACCGAGAGGATTCAGCACGCCAAGCACCTTTGCGATGAATCGACAGGGGGCGGCGGATCGAAGACGCCTACGGCGAATCACCGCCGCCCCCTGCCTTTTTGGAAGCGCATATGCGGCCGAACGTTGTGGCCAGAGGCCTGCCAAGCTATCGGACCATGTGTTCCCCGCATCGGTTTGGAAAGCGTTCGGGGAACACGGTGGGCGAGGCTGGGCCGACTTGGGCCTTTGTTTGGGGTGCTCCAGGGCCGTCTTGGAAGCCATCTTGAGCGTCTTGGAGGCCTCTTGGGCCGTCTTGGGGGGCCTCTTGGCGCCGTCTTGGGGGCCTCTTGGGAACGTTTTGGCGCCATACTGGAGACCTCTTGGGCGATCTTTGGGGGCTTTTGGGCCGTCTCGGGCCGTCGGAAGGCCGAAACGAAGCAAATGTCAAAATCCGTCGAAAACCTAAGGAAAAGCAGTGTCTTTGGCCTTGTCGGGCCTTCCTGGAGGCCCTCTTGGAGGCCTCTTGGGCCGTCTTGGGCCAGTTTCGAACCAATTTCGGCCATCTTGTTGGGCTCCTGGCCCGTCTGATGCCGTCGGAAGCCGTTTGGTGGGCCTCTTTGGGGCGATTTGGAGCCTTCCTGGGGTGCCCCAGGGCCGTCTTAGCGGGCCATCTTGGGCGTCTTGGAGGCCTCTTGGGCCGTCTGGGGCCGTCTTGGGGGCCTCTTGGGCCGTCATGGGGCCATCTTGGAGGCCTTTGGGACGATGTTGCGCCGATGGGCATCTTGAAGGTCATCTCGGCCGCCTGGAGGCCATTTTGACCCTTTCGGGCCTTCTTGGAGGACGTCTTGAAGGGCTCTTGGGCCGTCTTGGAGGCCATCTTGAGCGTCTTGGAGGCCTCTTCGGCCGTCTTGGGGGCCTCTTGGGGCCGTCTTGGGCTTCTTGGGCGATCTTTGGGGGCACTTGGGCCGTCTCGGGCCGTCGGAAGGCCGAACAAAAAGCAAATGCCACAATCCTTCAAAAACGCATGGGCAATTAATGATTTTGGTCTTTCCGGGCTTTCCTGGAGGCCCTCTTGGAGGCCTCTTGGGCCGTCTTGGGCCATCTTAGTGCCATCTTCGGCCGTTTTGGTTGGCCCCTGGCCCGTCCGACGCCGTCTGAAGCCGTTTGGGGGGCCTCTCTGAGCCGACTTAGGGGCCCTCTTGGAATGCTCCAGGACCGTCTTGGAGGCCATCCTGGGCTTCTTAAAAGTCTCCTGGGCCGTCTTGGGAGCCTCTTGGGGCCGTCTTGGGGGCCTCTTGGGCCGTTCTGGGGCCATCTTGGAGGCCTCTTGGGAGACCCTTGGGCGATCTTTGGGGGCTTTTGGGCCGTATCGGGCCGTCGGAAGGCCGAAACGAAGCAAACGTCAAAATCCTTCGAAAACCAAAGGAAAATCCGTGCTTCTGTCCTTTTCTGGCCTTCCTGGAGGCCTTCTTGGAGGCCTCTTGGACCGTCTTGGGCCAGCTTCGAGCCAACTTCGGTCATCTTGGTGGGCTCCTGGCCCGTCTGACGCCGTCGGAAGCCGTTTGGGGGGCCTTTCGGGGCCGACTTGGGGCCCTCTTGGGGTGCTCCAGGGCCGTCTGAGGGCCATCTTGGGCGTCTTGGAGGCCTCTTGGGCCGTCTTCGGGCCCTGTTGGGGCGGTCTTGGGGGCGTCTGGGGCCGTCATGGGGCCATCTTGGAGGCCTCTTGGGCGATCTTGGGGCGATCTTGGGGGCCTCTTGGGCCGTCTTGGGCCGTCGGAAAACCGAAAAGGTGCAAATTCCGCAATCCTTCAAAAACCTATCGAAAATCAACGATTTTGGCCTCGTCGGGCCTTCCTGGAGGACCTCTTGGAGGCCTCTGGGGCCGTCTTGGAGGCCTTTTGCGGGCCTTTTGGGCCGTCTTAGACCATCTCGGGGCCATCTTGGGCCGTCTTGGATGCATCTTGGGACCATCTTAGCCGTCTTGGAGACCATCTTGGCTGTCTTGGAGGCATCTTGGAGGCCATCCTGGGCCATCTTGGCCGTCTTGGGACCATCTTGGGCCATCTTGGGGCGGAACAGGCATTGACTTGTGCAGTTTCCGGGTGGCCGGCGGGACAGGCCGGAGCCCCAGGGGGAGTTCTTTTTGGAAAAAGATCCAAAACCAAAAGCCATATCGTCTGGCACGCCAGGCACCCCTTTGATAAATCAAAAGGGGGCGGCGGATCGAATGGCCTTCGGCCCATCCCGCCACCGTGCCTGGGTGGTGGGTCAGAGTTTTCAGGGATGCTTCTTCGGGTCTCTTCGGAGCGCTCTCGGGGGCCTCTGGGGAGCAATTTGGGGGCCTCTTGAAGTCTTGGAGCTTCTTGGGGGCCTCCTAGGGGCCCATCGGGGCCGAGGGCTCGAAATGTCCGTTCGGGTTTCCCATTTTGGCCCCCTCTTGGGGCAGTTTTTGGGCCCTCTTGGGCCGTCTTGGGCGCCTCTTGGGCCGTCTTGGGGCCCTCTTGCGCCTCTGGGGCCGTCTTTGGGCGATCTTGGGGGCCTCGTGGGCCGTCGTGGAGCGTCGGAAAAAAAAGTGTAAAACGCCGAAATCCTTGAAAAACAAAAAGGATAATCAATGATTTGCTGCATTATGGGGGCCTCTCGGGAGGCCTCTTGGAGGCCTCTTTGGGCGTATTGGAAGCTTCTTGGGCCGCCTTAGGGCCATTTGGGCGTCTTGGGCCGATCGTTCGGCGACTCGAGGCCATCTTGGGCCGTCTTGGGAGCCTCTTGGGGTCCTCTGGGCTTATCTTGGGGCCCTCTTGGGCCCGAAAAGGGTACGCGAGAAGACGCGACAAGCCCCAGACGAGATGCGCCAAGCCCCGGTAGATTCGGCAATTCGGAGTCCAGGCCCCTTAAAGACTGCTCAGGAGTGAGGATTGAGGCGTAGAGGATTGGGCTCAGGACCTGAGACTTGAGGACACGCCCACTTGCCCAGCGGCACGGTTGCAGAGTCCTCTGTTGATTCTACGAACTCTTCTGACTTGTCTGACTCCTTAGCAGATTCAAGTCTTGAGCTCTTCCAGGTCTTTCCAAAACCTCTTCTAGCCAGCAGCAGCATGAGGAGGAGGAGGAGGAGAACGACGACGACGATGAGGAGGAAGAGGGGGAGGAGGGAGCCCCCCCTCGGTTCTCGTATTCGCTCATGGTGTCCCACTGGCTCGCGCATCCGATGGGCCCGCTGGCCAGCAGGAGGAGGAGGAGGAGGAGGAGGAGGAGGAGCCACCCCCCCTTGGTTCTCGTACTCGCTCCTGGTGCCTTCCCCCTGCCCACTACCCCCGTCGCCCGCCCGGCTGCCCCCCAGGGCGTTCCGGGCCCATTCAGAGGCGCCGCTATTGCTAGCTTTCCTCCGTTTCTCTTTCTTTCGGCCTCCTGGGAGGCCTTGTCGCCACTGCTGGATTCGCCTCGAAATTCTGGTCAGAACGCACTCCAGGAGAGGTCTGGGGAGTACCGGTATTGGTACCTTTTGGTTTCCCCAACTCCGTTTTCATCCTCCCACGTCCTTGTCCTCCCCGTACCCCCTTTGATTCTCGGGGTGAGAGCCTTCAGCAAGCTGTCGCGCAGACTGCTGCAATACCAAGTCCAGCCGACCTTCCTCTTCCCTCTCCCCTCCTCCCCCTCCCCCTCCTCCTCCTCCTCCTCCTCCTCCTCCTCCTTCTCCTCCTCTCTCCTCCTCCTCCTCCTCCTCCTCCTCCTCATCATCATCATCATCATCATCATCATCATCATCATCATCATCATCATCATCATCATCATCATCATCATCATCATCATTCTCTGCTTCTGTCTCCTCCTCCTCCTCCTCTGCTTTTTCGTCCTCCTCCTCCTCCTCGTCCGCCCCCCTCGTCCCCTCCTAATTGCTCTCAGTCTTCTTTCCCATGCATCCTGCCTCCTCCACCTCTTCCTCCTCCTCGTCCCCTCCTCTTCCTCTCCTCCTCGTTCTCATGCTTCCTCCTCTCCTTCCTCATCACTGCTGCCTCCCTCTTTCCTCCTGCTCCTCCTCCTTCCTCTCCATCTTTCCTCCTCCTTTCAGGGAGTACTGGGCCCACTGGCTCCCGTACCTGCTCTTAGTGGGCGCCGTGTTCTTCGCGGTGTCCAACCTGTTTTTTCTCGACAGGGCCATGCGCGAGTACGAGGCTTCGGGGCGCCCCCATTCGGTGGCGCGCGCACGCGGGGCAGGGCTGGACCCGACCGGGAGGCCGAGGAGGCCCAGCATTGGCTCCGGATCAGCAGAGTGGGAGACAGGGGGCCCGTCGTCGCCACGGCTGGACTGGGCTCGGAGAATGTGTCGGTTTCGACAGGAGGGGTCCCGGGGCCGATTTTTAGCCGATTTGCCATGCTCCCTCCCCCTGGCCATTCTTATCGGAGCTCATCCAGCGCAGATCCCCTGGTCGCCTCCAAGGGCGGCTGAGGAAGACTTTGAGGACTTGTGCGAGCATCTTCTTCAAAGCAGTGCTTGCGCTAGGGGAGTCTGCTGCGCCTGCATAATCATTGGAGGCGTGTGGCGAGGTTTCGCCCAGTGTGCGCCTCGTGGGCGCCACGTGCGTTGGGCAGCCGCATAGCTTGCACCACATGGCTTTTACAATACAGCTTGCACCACATAGATAGCATCATGTATACATATATATATACACATATATATATATATATGATCCCAGGTTCCAGGCCCACGGCCCCCCTCCCCCCCAGATGGGATGGGTCTCAGGGTCCCGCGGGCTCCCCCCCTGATGGGATGGGGGGGGGACGACTACGACGACGACGGCGACGACGACGACGACGAGGGCGACGGGGGCATCGACGACGACGACGACGATGACGACGGCGACGACGACGGCGACGGCGACGGCCACGACGACGGCGACGACGACGACGACGACGTCGATGACGACGGCGACGGCGACGACGACGACGACGGCGACGACGGACACGACGACGACGACGACGGCGACGACGACGACGACGACGGTGGCGACGGCGACGGCGACGGCGACGGCGACGACGACGACGACGGCGATGACGGCGACAACGACGGCGACGACGACGGCGATGACGACGACGACGACGACGACGACGACGACGACGACGACGACGACGACGACGACGACGGCGACCACGACGGCGGCGGCGGCGGCGGCGGCGGAGCCGACGTCCGGAGCCCTCCGACAACGACGACGGCGGCGGCGGCCATAGCACCCCACCTCACCCACAGTGGGGGGGCCATCGCGCGGGGGGGGGGGCCGATGGCATCAGCATGAGGGGGGGGCCCAGACCCTGGACCATATATTGCAGCGCACGGCTTACACCACATAAATTGCACCGCATAGCTTACACCACGTAGCGTCCACCACGTAGCTTCCACCACATACCTCGCACAGCGTGGCTTGCATCACATGTTGGACCTGGGCGGGATCCTGAGGCGTTCCCGAGGATACCGAGCGGTCGCTGTTCGCCACGGCTGGGTGCGCCTCGAAGTTCTGGTCAGCACGCAGCTCCAGAGAGGTCGTGGGGCCGACCCGCGATGTTGGGTTTATTTCTGGTGGTGTCCTCCGCCTCCTCGGCGTCGAAATTGTGCAAGTACGTCCGTGCCTTGGCTCTGCGGCTTCCTCCTTCCCCTTCCTGTCTTCCCTCCCCTCCTCTTTCCTTTTACTCCCTGCCCCCTTCTCTCGCGCGCCTGGCTCGTGCAAAACTGCACGGCGCTGCAGCCTGAGGCTGGCGGTCCACTGGGCGTGGCGCGGGCGGCCGTGAATGGAGAGAGTCATCGCTGGGCACCTGGCAGCGGGCGGCAATGAACCTTGTTGGCCATGGTGGCCTGCTGCCCTTTCGCTGCGAGGTCCCGCTGCATGTGAATTCGTGCAGGCACCTTTGGCACCCTCCTTCGGGAGGTGCGCCGCCCCCTGGGCGGCCAGTCCAGGTATTTGTGCCAGGCCAAAAAATGTTGAAGTCCCCGAGATTGCAGCGGGTCCCTGAACCACAATTGCAGTTTCAGCGGTGAAGTCGGAGGGGAGTCCGATGATGTCAGGGGGCGATGCAGGAGAAAAGCAGGGAGCCGATATATGATGATACTAATGATGGTAATGATGGTAATGATGATGATGATGATGATGATGATGATGCTGATGATGATGATGATGGTAATGATGATGATGATGATGATGATGATGATGATGATGATGATGATGATGATGATGATGATGATGATGACGACGATGACGATGATGATGATGACGAGTATGATGATGGTGATGATGATGATGACGATGATGGTGATGATGATGATGATGATGATGTTGATTATGATGATGCTGCTGATGATGATGATGATGATGATGATGATGATGATGATGATGATGATGATGATGATGATGATGATGATGATGAGGCAGAGGCAGAGGCAGAGGCAGAGGCAGAGGCAGAGGCAGAGGCAGAGGCAGAGGCAGAGGCAGAGGCAGAGGCAGAGGCAGAGGCAGAGGCAGAGGCTGAGGCTGAGGCTGAGGCTGAGGCTTAGGCTGAGGCTGAGGCTGAGGCTGAGGCTGAGGCTGAGGCTGAGGAGGAGGAGGAGGAGGAGGAGGAGGAGAAGGAGGAGGAGGAGGAGGAGGAGGAGGAGGAGGAGGAGGAGAAGGAGGAGGAGGAGGAGGACGAGGAGGAAGTGGCGGTGGTGGTGGTGGTGGAGGGGGAGGGGGATGATCGAGGAGGAGTGGGTCCCTCGTGGCCACGCCGCGCGCAGCTCGGAGAGCTGTGGGCAGGGCTGACGGGGCGGGGCGCCCTCCGAGGAAGTCCTCCCGCCTGCCTTCTGAGAAACTCTGTCGGCAGCCTCAGATCCCTTCTAGGAAGCGCCCTGCCTTCTTTCGGCGACGAGCGAGAGGGGGAAGTGAGCAGGGGCGGGCCTTCTCAGAAGGCTCGGAAGTCCCCCCCAGCCTTCTGAGAAGTTTTCTAAGCCTCCCCTGAAGACGCAGAAAACTTCTCAGAAGACGCGAGGGCTTCGGGTCTTCTTCTTTTCATTTCCCCTCCGCTCGCCGCCGATTCTGGGAAGGCCCGCCGCTCTCGCCCATGCCCCGTGGAGGATTGAAACACCTGCGCCTGGGGGGTGTCGAGCCCACGTTGGGGACATGATAAATATAAAAGCCATCCTGAAAGGAGGAGAAAATCCTCTGCAGAGCGGAAATCGGACCACCGCCTTGAAGGCCCCCGACCTTCTGGCTACTGAAGGGGCCCCATCTGCCTTCTGGGAAGCCCCGCGCCCCCCTCGCCCATCCCTTCGGGTGATCGGAAACCTGCATCTCGGGAGTCGAGCTTTCATGCTGGATGGCGAGGAGCATCCAGAATGGAGGAGAGAAGCCTCCAGAGTGGAGGTTGGACCTTCGCTTTGGAGGCCTTCGATCCTATGACTGGGGGCCTCCCTGTGCTGCGCAGTCCCGCCCCCCTCGTCGACCCCCCTGGAGGATGGGAAACCAGCATTTTGGGAGGGGCCGAGCCCCCGTTCTGGAGGAAAAAGCAATCCGCAACTGAGGAGACGAGCCTCCAGTCAGGCAGGCCTACTGACTGTGATTCCAGAAGGCTCTCCCTCTTCCGCTTTCTCCCATGCCCGCTCTGCCCGCAACCGCTATTTCTCAAACAGGGCCCTTGGCCTTAGAGCTACGCCAGTTGTTCGAGCCGCGCTCACAGCAAAGCATCCCCGGCGCTGCGCGCCGATCCATATCACAGTGGTAGCGGAGCGAGGTTCGCTATCCCGGCCCGCGGGGCCGTACATATCGAAGACGACGTCGGCGCCACGTCGATCCATATTGGTATCGAAGCCCAGCGGCTTCCTCGCGCTGTTGCTCAGCGCCTACGCCAGCGTCAGCGACGCCAGCATCAACGCATACTACGCCTACCCTGCCAACTCCTACGCCAGCGTCAGCGACGCCAGCACTCACGCCTACTACGCCTTCAACGCCAAGTCCCACGCCAGCGTCAGCGACGCCAGCACTCACGCCTACTACGCTTTCAGCGCCAACTCCTGCGCCAGCGTCAGCGACGCCTGCACCTACGCCCACAGCGCCTACACCCAGAACTTTAGGGGCGCCGCCAAGTTCGACATCTCGTACCTTCAGAACTTCTACCGGCGCCGCCAAGTTCGATTTCCCGTGCCCCCAGAACTGCAGCGAAGACGCCGACTTCAATTTCACATGCTCCCAGAACTTCAGCGACGCCGCCGAGTTCGATTTCTCTTACCCTCAGAACATCAGCGACGCCGCCGAGTTCGATTCCCTTGACTTCCAGGACTTCAGCGAAGCCACAGAGTTCGATTTCCTATACTCAGATTTCTACGTCTACCCTTTCGCAAAGATGATTGACATTTCTCACAATTTCGGACGTTCAGTGATACCCACATGGACCGGAGATCCCTCGAAGTGGGGAGACTCCAAGCAGGAGGTGAAGCTGTGGAAGCTCAGCGAGAACCTCTCAGTCACGCAGAGTCTCGCGTCGAAGCTCGTGCTCAGGCTCAGCGGGACAGCGAGAAGCGCAGCGTTGAATATGACGGAAGAGCAGCTGCACCCGGCAGTTGCAGCAGACATCGAGGACGCCGACGAGACGAAGCGCAACAGAAATCAGGTCGGCATCGAGAATGTCCCACAGCATTTGGAGGCGAACCTGGGTCAGCAGAAGCCCGTGCAGAAGGGCGAGACCTTCGAGAAGTTTTTCGAATCTACCCAGCATCACCGACGGCGAGGTGAACGAATCACGGACTGGCTCATCCGCTTCGAGACTGATCGACAGCAGCTACGCGAGAACGAGGTGGACCTCAACGTGCTGGACGACGCGGCGGAATGGTTCCTGCTGCGAAAGGCCGGTCTCACGGCCGAGCGCCGCGAGTGCGTCGTGGGCAACCTGCCCGACGAACGCTACGGCTACAAGCGCGTCCGTGGACTGCTGGCGCGGGTGTTTCCGGACATCCGCAATTCCGAGCGCCGCGCCCCGCCGCCGCCGTGGCCGCGGAGCAACCAGTCGCGCCCCCATGGCGGCTGGCGCAGCAGCGCGTCCTCCAGCCGTGGAGGGCGATCTACCAACGTCGCCGACGAGTCCGCCGACTAGGGCGACGAAGAGCAGGAGGAGGACGACGAGGACGAGGCCGACGTGCAGGACGTCGTTCGTCAGG